TCGCTAGCTTATTTAGCTAGCAATCCTCGTAGCCATACCGCTGTCTTTATCGTAACGACTTGTCGCTAACTTGTTTAGCTAACGGATCGCTAGCTCATAAAGCTAGCGATCCTCGTGGCCAAATCGCTGTCTTTATCGTAGCGACTTAGTGCTAGCTATTCGCTATCTTATTTAGCTAGCGATCCTCGTAGCCATATCGCTGTCTTTATCGTAACGAATATCTCTAGCTATTCGCTAGCTTGTTTAGCTAGCGGATCGCTAGCTTTATAAGCTAGCGGATCGCTAGCTTATAAAGCTAGCGATCCTCGTGGCCAAATCGCTGTCTTAATCGTAACGAATATCGCTAGCTATTCGCTAGCTTGTTTAGCTAGCGGATCGCTAGCTTATAAAGCTAACGATCCTCGTGGCCAAATCGCTGTCTTAATCGTAACGAATATCGCTAGCTATTCGCTAGCCGATTTCCCACTGGGATTCGTTTTTTTTTCAAATATAACTGCAAGTGTTCCAATTAAGGCGCTGTTCCAATTAAGGCAACTCTCCCCTACTTAACAATTTAAAGGGTGGCCCTGCATATATAGCAAGTCACTCTTCATTTTTTCTTCTGTCTTTTCTTTTTTTTGTGATACTGTAGCTTAAAGTAAAGTTGTTGCTCTTTTTCAGCAAATATTTTGTTTGAGGCCATTGAGGCCACTTGAGGCAACTTTCGTTGGCTTTTTAGGAACCCGCAATCAATAAGCCACTTGTCGTTACTAGAGTGTTTCAGCAATGTGTAAGTTCAGCAATCTGTATGTTCAGTGTCTGTATGTGAACATTTCAAATAGAATGTCCAATTTCGATGTGTAAAAGGTGTATTTTTTTGCTTTATTTTACTTTATTGTCTTCGGCTTTTAGAATTATTTTTTTTCATGTGTCTCATGTTCTTCTATCAAACGGACAATTTGATCAGCAAGGACTTCATCGGAACACTAGCAGGTAAAAAAGTTTTAAATGATATTGCTAACTAGATGAATTTCAATTAGTTTTGTTTCTTTTCTAGGATCTTTTTCTCTCTCAAAAATGTATTTTTGCAAAATAGCTATTCAATGCAATATTTTTTTTTCAATTGAAATATATCTATTCAATAGTAGCTTTCCTTCTTTAAAATTTACTAAGGAAAAGCAACAATCTAATGATTTAAAAGAGCGTCTGCTTTTTTTAGCGGCAATATTTTTGTTTATAGCAATAGCTTGAATATGTGTTGAATCTGATAATCGTTTTCTTTCCAGATCATAGTACTGTCTCTTCTGTTTCAATAAATACATTATTTCCCAAATTTTTACGAGGTCTTCCAACCTTCTTTGGTATGGGAACCATTGCCGTGGTTGGTGTTTGTAATATAAACACAGTTAGTATCAATGTGTTTAATTATTACTTTGTAACATTAAAAGGATATAGAATAAGGTTCATTAACAATTTTGTAAATAAAACTTAATAACGTTGCAGCATGTTTGTAAGAACTATTGATACCTCAAGAGAATGAAGAACTTAAGACTTTTATGACTTTTTTAAATGCAATTTCACAATATTAAATTTATAATGGAGCGAAAGATTATAATGTTTGAAAATTATTGGAATGAGAGTTATTGGAATCAGACTAAACTAAATTATGTAATGCAACATCTGTTGTGTTTTGAAACAAATCTCTTGTGGAATATGTACAATAGGGTGCAGTGAATTTTCATTTTTTTTAGAATTCATTTGGCCTAGGTGTGCAAAAGTTGTCCATTTTTTTCAGAATTACTCTGGTAAAATATCAATGCTCTAGGAAACTATTTTGTGGTGACCTTTTTTTAATATAATATTAGGGATCCATTAAAATTTCAAGACCTTTGAAATTTTAATGGATCCCTAATATTATATTAAAAAAAGTTTTTCAAAAGAATGTCATGTTGGGTCTCAAAAGAAGCAAAATTTTATTAAAAGTTAAAAAATAATAACTATTTTGATAAAAAAAACTATTATATAAGAATTTTTTAGTGGTTAACAAATAAATTGTGTGAACTCCACTAAGAAACAATAACAGTTAGTGGGTTAAACCATTGCGCAAAACTTGCACAATCCAGTACCAGAACTTCCAATGTTTTGTGGGGGACCTGAAAATCTTTCTTAATTTGAAACTTTTGGTATTTAACGTTTTTAGGTCAAGTGTAATCACTAGTTAAAACCTCGGTTAAAATTCCAAAAAAAGTTTAAAATGGACCATCCTAATACTACACAGCGGTTCTTGATAAAAAAAACGTTCTGGTCTTCTCTAAGTTTCCAGTGCTTTTTTTTTTTAAGCTAGAACGCAGTTATTTTACAAAAAGTTGTAAAATTTAACTTTTATACGTTAAGTTTTTTTTGCTCATACTTATAATTTGTTTATTTTTAAGTTATTTTTGAGACACTACGAACTTGAATTGTAAAAAAACGAAAAAAATAGATTAATAATGATATTTGTAAAATTTTTTGAGGGTAAAAGTGAATGTATTACAAAGCTTTTAAAAGTTTTTCTGGATAAGCAACTTACATGGAAACATCACATTGACTACATTTGTACCAAAATTTCTTAAAAACATTGGAATTCTATAACATTTCTTAAAAACATTGGAATTCTATAAAATTTCTTAAAAACATTGGAATTCTATAAAATTTCTTAAAAACATTGGAATTCTATAAAATTTCTTAAAAACATTGGAATTCTATAAAATTTCTTAAAAACATTGGAATTCTATAAAAATTCTATAAAGATTATTAAATAAAACTCGTTTATCCCAACTTTATTAAACTCGTTTATCCATAACTATTTAAGTTATGCAAATACTACCGCGCAAAGTACTGATAAAATACATTGAAACGTCTTTGAAACTGTAGGAAGCACAAAATTTGTATTGGAGGTGGTCTTACTCACATAAAGCCGTTATTCAAAAAAACTATGTTACTTAATATATATGAAGTAAATGTATGTTAAATGTCTTCTGTTTAATATAATGTAAGGGAGAATGGGGAGAAGTGGGACACGCTGAATTTTTTTTAAGAGTAATTGCAATGTCTTTTTGTTTGATGTATAAACTAAACTAAACAAGTTTTCACAAATAAACTTTCTTTTTAGGCACCGATTCAATCCCCTTACGTTTCCAGTCATTTATAACTAAGTATATAAATTTTTGTATTTAGAGAAACCGTGCCATTGGGGTGAAATTGGACAAGTGTGAATAAAAGTGGGACAAATAAATTTAAAACAACATTTCAACACAAATTATTAAATAGAAACTGATAAAACCTCCTAATCGACATAAAAATGTTCAAGAGCTTTCGCAAATCGAAATAATGAAACGACGGGAAGAAGCGGGGCATAAATATTTCGTTCATCTGTCAATTCCCAAACATCCCACTTCACCCCAATGTAAACACTGTTTTAAGGTAGGGGAGAGCGGGGTTGGTTGTCACGCGGGTTGGTTGTCACAAAGTTTATTACAGGAAATGTAAATAAGATATAGAAATTTTAAATTATACAATGGAAATGTTATATAAAAAAAACATTTTTACAGTAATTTTTATCTTTTTTTAGCGAGCAGAAGAAAAGTTATTCGTTTTTATAGGTTTTTGATTTGAAAAAGTAAAATTTCGCCTACTCAGAAATTTTCTTTTACCAAACGAAAATTATCTTATTGTGTTTTGAATGTAGATTTATAAAGTACTTTATTCATTTGAGTAACTTAATCCGTAAAAAATCATCATGAAATTCTCACGCTTTTAGGTAAATGTACAGGTGTCCAGCAACTTACTCAGAAGGGGTTGCTTGTCACAAAATATATGGGGTTGGTTGTCACACTTGCCTCGACTCCATGCGCTGCAAATTAAACGCCGCTTGCTGGCTTTGTTTATTTTCCGCATTATTGAGGAATATTTTAATGTTTAAGATATTATTTAAAAATCTAAAGTCAAAGTGTTATATTTGTTTAACTAAATATCTGTAATCTAAATTATTTTTATTTCAACATGCATAACTTTAGATTCCGATCCAATGTTTAGTATAATTATAGAAAAAGGATTGCAGAAGTTCAACTGTTTATTGTTTTGTTTACAAACTAAACAACAGCTAGTTGTTTAGTTTGTAAACAAAACAATAAACAGTTGAACTTCTGTTGAACTTCTGTAAAACTGTCTGTTGTTTTGTTTGTGCATTGTTTATATTTAATGGGTTTATATATATATATATATATATATATATATATATATATATATATATATATATATATATATATATATATATATATATATATACATATTAATGTTTTGTTTACATTATTTGCAAATATTTTTATTTGCTTAGTAATAAACATGGTACGAAATTTTAAAAGAAAAGCTAATAGAGGTTATACTTCTGGAGATGTCATAATGTGTGCTGTTAAAGATGTAAAGATTAATAACATTTCTATTAGATCAGCAGCAAAAAACCATGGCATTAGTTACAGAACATTAGCACGTTATTGTAAAAAAATTATTATTACTAACCCATCACATGGTTCTATAGCAGATCTAATTGACAAAATTGAAAACCCCACTTTCCTGAATGTTATAGGATACAAAAGTCGATTGATATTGCCAGAAAAAGTAGAAAAAGAACTGGTCACCTACCTGTTGCGAGCAGCAGATATATATTTTGGTTTAACTTCTACCGAAGTAAAAAAGCTTGCTTTCCAGCTAGCAATTAAAAATAATATGAAGGTTCCCAATTCTTGGGTTGTAAATGAACAAGCTGGTAAGGATTGGTTTACAGGATTTATAAAGCGCCATTCAAATATTTCCAGTAGGCAGCCTGAAGCTACTAGTTAAAGTCGAGCGACAAGCTTTAATAAGCAGAATGTTGCATCATTTTTTAGCAATTTGCAGCACTGTATGCAAAAATACTCGTTCTTACCAAATGACATTTGGAACATGGACGAAACTACTGTACAGTAGTTTCGTCCATGTTCCAAATGTCAATCTTTTTAGGTTGCTGTACAGTAGTTACTGATGTAACTACTGTACAGCAACCTAAAAAGGTTATTGCGAAAAAAGGATTAAAACAAGTAGGAGCCATCACGTCAGCTGAAAGAGGAACTCTTGTAACATTAGCATGCACAATAAATGCTATTGGAAATAGTATTCCACCCTTTTTTATTTTTCCTCGTAAAAACTTTAATGATCGTTTCCTAATTAGTGCACCAACAGGAAGTGCAGGAGATGCAAATCCAAGTGGTTAGATGAAAGAAGAAAACTTTGTAAAATATCTAAAACATTTTGTAGGCAATACAAAATGTACGAAAGAAAAGCCTTGTTTATTGTTGCTTGACAATCACGAAACTCATCTTAGTACTGAAGGATTAGATTTGGCAAAAAATAATGGAATAGTAATGCTTACCTTCCCACCACATTGCACACATAAGTTGCAGCCCTTGGATAAGGCAGTTTATGGTCCTCTCAAAAACTACATAAATAATGCTATGACATCATGGTTAGTAATGAATCCTGGAAAAACTGTTATAATATATGATATTCTAAAAATAGTAAACATTGCATTTCCTAAGGCTGTATCTCCCCACAATATTTTAAGTGGTTTTTCTGCAACAGGTATTTACCCGTTAAATCCTGATGTGTTTACTGAAAATGATTACTGTCCTTACTATGTAACTGATCGCCCTGACCCACCTTGTCACAGGCTGATTCAAATAAAAAAGACTGTGAAAGATTCACAGTCTTTTCAATTTTCATTCAATGCAACCAGAACCATCAAATAAAAGATTTAAAGAATCTATTCAGAAACCAGATAATCAGGTAGACATAACAATAGAAGATCCAGTTGTATCAAATAAAACCTCTAATCAGAACCCAATCACAACATTAGGTTTTAACAATTCAATCATACCACCTGAGAGTATTAGGCCTCTGCCTAAAGCAGGCCCGAGGTTAGCATCAAAAAGAGGTAGGAAAAAGCGGTCAACTATGATTCTTACTAACACGCCTGTCAAAGCATGGCTTGCTAATTATAAAAAGAAGAAAACTAATAAAAAAATTACTAATAAAAAAAATTACTAATGGAAAAAAAAAAGAGTTAATAAAATCAAATCTTGCTACGAAAAAACCTTCTATAGTCTTAAATTCATCTGAAGATAAAGAGTATCTGTGCATCTATTGTTTTGAATCATTTTCCAACAGCCGATCAAGAGAACAGTGGATTCAATGTCAGGTTTGCCAAAAATGGGCTCATAAGAATGCACACCAGGCTTACAACAGTTTATTTGTGAATTGTGTTCTTTATCCAATAATTTTTAAAAAACCAAACCTAAAAACATTTATAGTGATAAACTAAATTTGTTAATTGTGTTATATTTAAAATATATATATTTCAGTTTATAGTATTTTATTTTTATTTTTTTTTCTAGTAAAACATAAACGAAATTAATTTGTACTCGTTTTACATTAAATTCTTATCTAAACTTGTCAAAATCCAAATGTGACAATCAACCCCGCACCATGTGACAACCTACCCCGTGAGCGGGGCTAGTTGTCACACAGAAGTGGTCTTTGAAAAATGATTTTACAGCAATAAATATTTCACTCAATGTCATAAAAATATTATAATAGTTACTGGAAATAGTTAAACTAGCTTTGTGCAAAGTTTGGCATTGATTGGATGAAAATTAAAAGCTAAGCAGCCTAAAATGTAAAAAGTGTGACAACCAACCCCGCTCTCCCCTACATTTCAATATTAGAGCTTCTAGCGCACGCAGGGAAACAAAGCAACTTCTTCTAAATAGGGGGGAATAAATTTAATTGTTTACATTAAATAACAGTATTTAGGCAGCACTCCTAATTAGAAATTTCAGGCTGCTCCACTTCTTCCCACTCTCCCCTACTATTTTATATACATATATTATATGTAGAAAAATAATTTAGTTTATAACGTTTTTAAAGTCTATCTTAATAAAAAATGATTTTAAATCAAATTTTTCTTCAAACAAAGTACAATCATTTTTGTTTTGATGACCGTGCATTTTTGAAATAAAGATATTTTGCAAAATTTTTATTTGCCGATAAAAATGTGTCATTTTTTCGTTTTCCAAGAGACAAATTAGGTAAGTACTTAACTTGACTAACTAAGCATTAAGATTTAAGTGCTTAATTAATATAATTTAGTCATTAATATTATTATTATAATTTTTTTTGTAACATTTTAAAACACAAAATTAAAGTAGGCCATTGTGCAACTTTTAAAACTGATGTGTTTTTGTTTTCTATTGGAATAAGCCGAAGTTTTTATTTTGATTTGGTCAAGTAGTTTTACTGATTTTAAGTTTTTAACCCCGTGTTTTTTAAAAAGCGGTTGCGATTAGTCCATCTTCTTTTTTTTAAGTGGTCTTTAAATGTCCTATTTATGTTATATTTAATTATAATACAATTAGTATATAAAGAAAAGTATATGTTATTAATGTTATTCTTATTTTTTTGTAAGCATTTGCTTTTCATAGCATTTGTTTGTTTTAACTTAAAATTTGCTTTTTTCGTTTTTTTATTTGTTCTAAAAATTTTACTCAGGGCATCCTACAATCCTCTGTAAACAAATTACACGTTTTTTACGCGAGTCGACATGCTAATATACAAACTTTATTACACAAAACACAAAATTATAGCATAAAAAATTGAAAATAATATACATGAAATATATATATATATATATATATATATATATATATATATATATATATATATATATATATATATATATATATATATATATATATATATATGTAAAATGTGTAAATAAGTGAGTAATCACTTATTTACACATTTTATAACCACACGATTTATAAAACCTATTATTGTTACAATTGTTTTTATTTCAGATTTATAAAGATTCAGATCAAGATTAAGAATAAATATGATCAAGAACGTAGTAAAAATAAAGTAAAAAAAAAAAGCTACGCTAATCAAATAACTAACAAACAATTTTATGTAAAAAAATTCTTATATTTAGTTTTAATTTGAACATTTTACAACAGTTTTGTTCGAGATAAGATCCGAGGAAGAAATAGTTAAAAACATAAAAATTAAATAAGCCATAGCTTTTTTAATTTCAAACTTCAAGTCAAAAAAGTAAATTTAAATTATCAATTATCAAAGGATTTGCGCAATATATTTTTTTTTCAATAAATTTCAAAAAGTTTGAAGGTTTTGTAACGTTTTAATACAATTACGCAAAAGAATTTCGAATGTCTCAAGATTATAAAAAGTTTTTTAACTGTTACGTTAATCTTCATTTTTTTATTTTTTTTTTATGAGTTGTTATTTATTTTTAAAAAATTTCAATTAAATAATTACACATCCACTCGCGAGTGTGTGTGCACACATATATACGCACACATATATTTTTAAAATAAAATTTTCTTTTGTATCAAAAAAGTTTGTTTTAGCGTAAGGAATTACTATTTTTTTAATGTTGCATTTCAATATAAAATTAAGTTGCATTTTAAAGTTTCATATAATAGATCCCATACTCCTAAAAATAGTTTAACGAATGTTCAAAATTCCAACCACGTGAATGTGTCAAAAAGTTTTCTAGATCGGACTTGTTTAGAAATATTTTAAAGTTACAAAAGCGAGCATCTAACTTAAAACGAAATTGTTTTTAATATGGAAACTGCATATGGATATTGCGAGTATCAAGCTTCAGGTAATTTGCCATCGTAATTTAACATAAAATTAAAATAAATATGTAATAAAGAAAATCCGTAAAAAAATATCTCTTTGATTGTGATAGAGTGCGGGCGATTTTGTTTACTTAATTCAATTTTTATTTCTAGAGTTTTAAATGTCGTTTAGTAGCAAAAAAAAAAAAAAGTTGTACATTTGTAATCTTTAAGAAAAATTATGTAATCTTTATTATCTATATATATATAAAAATATATATATATATTATATATATATATATATGTATATATTATGTATATATTATGTATATATTATGTATATTTATATATATATATATATATATATATATATATATATATATATAATATATATATATATATATATATATATACATATACATATACATATACATATACATATACATATATATATATATATATATATATATATATATATATATATATATATATATATATATATATATATATATATATATATATATATATAAAGGTTGCGGAATTATAAAGATATTTCAGAATTACTTTTATAATATTTTTATAATTATTTCTTTTATTATTACTATTATTGTTATTATTATTATTACTATTATTGTTGTAATATTATTATTGTTGTAGAGCATGAAATGGCACCTTGGTATCCTACGTCATACTTTAAACAATCGGATGGTAGTTTAATGATTTATCCACCTTCGTTTTTTAATTCTATTCCGCCGGTTTATAAGATACTCCCTCAAAAGGAAAAGTGCGAATCATTTTCAAACTACTCTCCTAATAGCGAACAAATGATTAAAAATTTTCCTTCTCTGGCATATCCATGTCACTTACATATCAACTGTTGCGTCTTTCGCAGAAACGAAATAGAAGAACTTAACTTGCTTGATAAACAATGTTGCCCAGCAATAAAAGCTCATCGGGCTATTTTTTACCGAAACAAAATTTTTGTTGGTTCTTTAGCTAGAAAGGTTTTATTTTTACTTTAATTATTTATATTCCTGATTCCGACGATAATAAAACAATGAATTACATATATGTAATACTTTCAAATCAGTGCATTTTACTTTAAAAATTTTTGCATTATTAGACTAGCCCGGCCGATTTAGCTCAATTTTTTCAAAAGTTCGGAAAAGTTATTGCAGCTAAAGTAATTATGGATTCTGGCGGCAACTCCAAAGGGTAATTTTTCAAATTTTTAAAATTCTTTTAATTAAATTAAATTTAAATACAAATAATGTTACAAGCAGTTGAACTTTTTAGATACGGATTTGTTTCCTTTGCTTCAGAAGATACAGTTAACTCCATTCTTAGCCAAGGTGCTATCTACATGGAGAAAAAGAGGATTGCTGTGGCATTTGCGATCCGCAAGAAGCATGATGACGAAATATAGTGATAGCTTTTCGTTATATTTTATTTAAACGATTTTCTTCAAGTTTTTTTTTTAAACTTGTACGTTTATTCACGACTTATTTGTATGGCCTGATGTTTGGCAGATTATTTATGTGTTTTTAGTATTTGTTTGGATGATTATTGCAAAGTATATTTTATAAATTGCAGTGATTTTATAAAAACCAGTGATTTTAGAAAAGTTTTTTTGAAGAAGTTTTTAATCATATTTTTAACCATGCAACCATATTTGTACAGCTATTATTTTTTTAATATTTTGAATCTTTGGAGATTTACTTTACTTAATGAGAAAAGAAAAGCATGTATATATTTTAAGTGTAAACTGTTTTGTTTTTTTTTATTCTTTTTTTATTTTACTGTTTATAAACTACACAATTCGATATTTGGCTGATTCGAAATCCAAAATTCTAATGCATTGACGAGTCTTCGTTTGCACTAATGTTAATAGCTTAAAAGTCATATTGTTGCTTGATAAACTGCGCGATAATTATCAAAACTCACACTGTCAAATTTGCAATCAACCTCGACTTAAAAAAACATAAAAGTCCTTCTACGGAAGAATTATATAAATTTTGAGTACATTTAAATCATTTTTAAAACATTTAGTTTTGACGGAGCCAGATTTTTGCGATTTAACAGGTGGATTTTGAAATTGATGTTGTTGTTTTTATTTAGGTGCTCTCAGAAGCCTTTACGGTCTTATTACAGAGCACCGCGGAAGAGGATTTAACTAGGATTTAACAAACGCTTCCTACTTTACCAATGTTGCTAAATGGGCTAGAGTCGGCGTCTAACCTCTTTGTTCAAAGCCAGAACTCTAACCACTGCGCCACGGCTGCAATAAATTAATAATAGTTCCAATAATAAAAAATAAAGTATTTAAAATGGTTAACTTCCAAACATGGTATTATCTCAAATCTTTTACATCTTTATGATCAAATCAAATGTATATATATATATATATATGTATACATATATATATATATATATATATATATATATATATATATATATATATATATATTTATTTTATATATATATTTTTATCCTATATATATATATATATATATATATATATATATATATTTATATAAATATATATATATATATATATATATATATATATATATTATATATATATATATATATATATATATATATATATATATATATATATATATATATATATATATATATATATATATATATATATATATATATATATAGAATTAAAAATATATATATATATATATATATATATATATATATATATATATATATATATATATATATATATATATATATATATATATATATATATATAGTAATATAAATATATATATATATATATATAATATACTATATATATATATATATATATAGTATTTATATATATATAATATATTTATATCCTATATATATATAATATAATTAT